CAAATTTGGACATACCTGTATCCACATGTCTTTCTTTCAGTGATTTCAAACAGATCAAACAAGACCTGGGAAAGTTTTCAGATGATCTTGTTAAGTACATTGAGGTCTTTAAAGGACTTACTCAGATCTATGAACTAAAATGGAAGGAAGTAATGGTACTCTTAAGCATTGACTTCTGCTGAGAGACAAGCAGCATTACAAGCTGCTATTACCTTTGGAGATGAATATCATGTTGCTAACCTTAGAAGGCCAGAAGACAGGCAGCCAGGGGGAACAACTGGATCCTACTGGAGCTGAAGCAGTCCCTATACAAGATCTCTACTGGCCTACCAACCAGACAGGAGATTGGAATAAGAGGTATCTTTAGATGTGCTTTCTTGAAGGTCTAAGTAGGACAAGGATTAAGCCCTTAAATTATTTTAAATTGTCAACTATTCATCAGGAAAATATGAAAACCCCTCTGCCTTCTTACATAATTTACAAGAGACATTACTAAAGCATACATCCCAGGCTCCCAATTCAATAAAAAGACAGATTATTCCTAAAGATAAGTTTACTACCCAGTCAGCCCCACATTTAGGAAAAAGCTACAAACAATGGCTTTTGCTCCAATAGCTCACTTGGTACTTTAGTAAAGATTGCTTCCTCAGTATTCTATAATTAAAAGCAGGAAGAAGCCAAGGAGAGAAAACAGAAGATCCAAGAGAAAGCAGTAGCCTGAGCAGCAGCCCTAAAGGAATAAACCCTAAGTCTGATTCTTATGGCTCCAAGAAGAGCTCAATAACTAAACTCACCTATTGCTGCAAAAAAAAACAAAGCCACCTTAAGAGAGACTGTGATAAGAACCATCATAAGAGACCCCCTAAACCATGCCCTGATTACAAAAGTGACCACTAGAAGTCAAACTGCCCCCTGAGGTGAAGGGCCCAGGAATCACAACTATCTTACCAGTTGGTCCAGCAAAACTGAGGGGCCCTAGGGCATTCTCTGCCTTCTTGCTCTGGCCATATTGTCATCACAGAAGAGCCCCAGATAATCCTGACTAGAGGAGAAAGAAACCAGCCTATAGCTGGACACTGGCAGGTGTCTCTCAGTCCTTTCCAACCATGGACTTCTCTCCAACCATCGTACCTCAATGAAAGGAGTCACTGAAAAAGAGATAACACTATTTCTCACAACACTTAGGCTTAACTGGGATGGCTTTCTCTTTGCCCATTCCTTTTTAATTATGTCTGAAAGTCCAGTTCCTCTCTCAGAAGACATATACCCATATTTTAACCTGGGAATTTCCAAACTGTAGTCCAGAAGCTTAAACAAGCACTTCTAAATGCCCCAGCACTAGGCCTACCAAAAAGACAACATTTCAATCTGTATGTGGATGAAAAGTGGAGCATGGCTTTGGGAGTACTTACATAGGATTGTGGACCTGCTCAGCAGCCTGTAGGACATCTGAGTCATGAATTAGACATTGTAGTAAATGGATGTCTTGTGTGCCCTAGAGCTGTCTAGAAAGACCAGCCATCCAGATAAGGACATATTCCTCCTTAAACCCTGCTACCTTTCTACCAAGAAAAGGCACAAGAGTTGGTAAAGGTTTTGGTCTCAAAAATCAACCCCAGATTTAAACTTCCTAAAAACTCAGAAAGTGATAATGGGCCTTCTTTTAAAGCAACAGTCACATAGGCTGTCTCTCAGGTATTGAGAATTCTCTATCACATTCACTGGGCATGGAGGCCACAATTATCAAAAATAGGTAGAAAAGATGAATAAGAACTTAAAGAGAAATCTTCACAAAATGGCTCAAGAAACCCACCTATAGTGGCCTTACTTCCTACCTTTAACACTTATCAAAATAAAAAATACACCTCAAATTCTAGGTGTTCAGTCCACTATACTTTACAGATGCCCTTTTCTCATTAATGATTTTGGTAGAGAAACAGATGCCTTACTAAAGGATGTCACCACACTGGCTAAATTCCAGCAGACCCTTCAACAGCTTACAGAAGCTCAACCTAAACAAAAGAGAGGTTTCATATTCCAACTCGGAGATTTATTACTGGTAAATTTTCTTTCCTCATCATCTCCTTCCCTAGGAACAACTTAGGAAGGACCATACACTGTGATCCTATCAACTCCATGAGCTGTCAAGGTAGCAAGCCTGGACTCCTGGATACTCCACACCCAACTCAAATCCTGAGAACCTGAGACTGTTGCTGAGTTGAGCAACCGTTTGAATACTCCTGTGAACCCATATAAGACTTAAAGTTTTTGTTCAAAAAGAAAAAAAGTCTTCAGATAAGTGATCTAAGATGTAACTCTTAGCCCTGTTATTAATTACTTTACCACCTGAAAGAGAATGTAATTCCTTTCTAGTCTAGATACAGGACTAAGCAAAATTGTTATAATAAACATCTTGTTAGATACGTGACCTGCTCCCCTTCTCAAGTACATTAGGACTTTCTTGGTGGGTATGCCCACTTCAAAGAGATGGTTAAAATAAACTGTAATACTACACTGATGAAACACAAAAGAGTTCAATAGTTCATAGTTTATCTGACTGTTGCAAGGTAAGTGGGGCTGGGGATTCAACTCAGTGGCACAATGCCTGCCAGGCAAGCTCGAGGTAGTGAGTTCGATTCCCAGTACTGGAAAACAAAAACAAAAACAAAACAAGGTAACTGAGTGTCCTTTACCCTTTATGGTTCTGGACATAATTGAATTTTTTCTAAAAAAGCCACTAAAACCTCCCTACAGATACTAGTAAAACCCCTATTAAGTAAGAGTAAGAGTCTTATCATGAGAGCCAACAGTCATAAAGATGGATACTTTCAGATATGAGGCAATTATATATGGTTAACTCTAACTACAAGACAACTTAGTAGAAAGGCCCCCTTATGTTGGGAACCAAAAGAATCATTCTTATTCTCATTGGCCCAACTCTACTAAATACTTGAGATGAACACCCCTCAAACAGTATATATACACCACAACTTTACAGGTCAAAGACTGGTTTGCAGTAGACTGGTTTATTCACCCTGAATTAGATGGGAAGCCCCCAGTGGCACTAATTGGTCCTGCAGAACCCATTAGTGGCCCCGGTTGCTCTCTACATAGGGAGATGCATGCTTGTTATAACAAGCATCTAACAAGATGTTTATTATAACAAGATGTTTATTATAACATAGGGGATTTGCATGGTACAAGACAGGAGTGTCCAAAATATCAACAAACTTGCAAACTTACCCATCTGCAACATCGATGGTCTAAAAGTGTATTTTATTGGTATGATCATTTAGCTTAATCTTTGTTCCTTCCCTAGGTTTAGAAGGAGTCATGCAACATATTGAGGACTTGACTAACTATATTCAATGGGCCTTAAATGAAACCTCAACTGGTCTCTCTCCCCTAAATAAAGAAATAAAAGTAATGAGAAAGCTGTCCTACAAAATCGAATGACATCAAACATTCTAACAACAACACAAGAGTGTACTTGTGCTATTATAATAACTAAATGCTCTGTGTACATTCCTGATCCTTCTGCTAATATCGCGATGGCTGTTGAATGTATTAAATGACAGGTTAATGCCACATCAGATTCTAAAACTTCCTAGACCTTCTCCTTACACTCTTCATGGGAAGTTATTACTAGTTCTTCCTGGTGGGAATATTTTTTGGTCGAATTCATAATAGTCTTGTTGATTTTATAGTTTAGCCCATACATTTTTAACTGTTTTCTTGTCTCCTCCAGACTCAAATCTGTACACCTACCCAAGATGAAAATAACTGATGTCTACCAAGGACCTTTAGACAGACCCTCTGGAGATCATCTCTGACTGCCAGTCATAACTATGACCCCTTCAGCCTGAAGTAGCCAGAACCTTCCTTCCCTCCTCCCCTTCATGGCCGTTCAGGATACCTCTTCAGACAGGAAAATAATATAGGCAGCTAAGTTATGTAATAATATAGGCAGTCAGGTAAGGCTGGGCCCTCAAGAGAATTGAGACCAAAGGTGAAAACACACTGAAGTTGTGGTTGGAGATGCATCATTTGGAGGCCAAGCCTCAATATAACAACAAAAGGACTAGGCCTACATACTCCTTAAGGGATGAGATAAGTGATAAAATTTGGTCTAATAAAATCCAGACACGCATCAGTGACCTCAGTGGGCAACCAAAACCCCTGGATCCATCACTACCTGAGAATTTCTTTGTTCTTTTCATACACACACACTATGTGACTTCCTCATTAGATCAATATTACCTATGTGGCTATACTTATAATCTTATTGGTTGATCATATCTGTAACCCATGTTGTAACCCACACGGTTGTGCTTTGTAAAACAACCCCCCTGAGAAGTGAGGTCCTAGACATTCCCAGAATAGGACACTGGTCCTTCCAGTGTCCACTCCTGTCCCTCTCACACAAGAGCTTTCTATTCTTCAATAAGTATTTCCTACTCTTCACCTCCATTGTTCCTAAAATTTATTCTTTGATGTTAGAAAACATGAACTCAGTGTGTATCAGACATGTAACAGGTTGAGAGTTAGACTATTTCCCTTGTATCAGATTCAGAGGTCCTGATATCATTTCCTATATCAGTTTCAGAGGATAATACCAAAGAAAAGAGGTTGGCACATTATATTCAGAGAATTGAAGAGGCCCCTTCATACAGAGCCCACAGACTCTAGAAGCAATGATGAAAAACAAAACCAGAAACAATAGGACCAAATTGGAGATGACCTTTAAATGAAAATGTTGGATCTCTATGTTGGCACCGAAATGCCTGATGTTCTTTTAGTCCAATCTGTTCGCTGACAGTAACAAGAGGTGCCAACCCCCCCACCCAGTGTACTTCAGTTTGTTCGTTGCCCAGGTTCTTGTTCCAGTTCCAGTTGCTTCTGTCTCTTAGAAACGGCTGGTCACTGTGATGCATAGCTGGTCACTATGAAGCACATTGTATAAACCAGTCCCCAGCTGACAAGCCATTCTGCCTCTGTACTTCCTGCTTCCTTATCCCGTATAAGCCCTAGACCACCAGAGATCAGGGCCTGATATTCTGAGAATGCTCCCCATCCTTGCCCATAGATGTAAGTAAATCTGCCTCCAAATCCTGGGTGTTGTTTCAGTGTTTCTGCTTGCTGTTGCATCACCACTTTAGTTGTCTACTTTGTACCTTTTGTTTCTTTTGTAAATTTAGAGTAGCTTCAGACTGAACACAGAATAAGCTAAACACTTCCCAGTATGAGTGTCACATATTTTTCTGGTGTCCTTCCCACCTTCTAACCTGATGACGCAACCCAAAGAGCTGAGCACTGTTCTTGTTCTCTAACCCTTGCCTATTATTCTCCTAATGTCCACTATTCTGTCACAATCTAGGTATTTATTAGGGTGTCCATCCTTACTGTGCATCTTTTTTTTTGGGGGGGGGTTTCCTCCAGTGTCGGGAACCGAACTCATGACCTTGCACTTGCCAGGCAGGCACTTTGCCGCTAAGCTAAATCCCCAGCCCTCTTACTGTGCATCTTATAACTATAAAAGATCAGGAAGACTATCTGTTTTGTTGTCAGCAGTTGCTTCAGTGTGGTGGATGTTTTGATGGGCCGTGCGCATGGCCCTAGGGACTGAAGGCTTTATCTGCTCAACTGCTGGGAGGCCTGTCAGTACATAAGCCTCGGCTGTCAGCTCTCCTTGGAACTGTTTCACCTGGGAAACACCCTTTCTCAAGGACAAAGCCCATTCCAATGACTGAATGGACACAGAGGATAAAAGTCCTACCCACTTGTCCCAGGAAGGGACAACGCTGAGAAGCCAGGCTAGCTTCATAGCTCTGCTTGAGGTCAGCTGACGTCTCACTGGGCGTGCAGAGGAGCTCACCTCTCCCTGTCCCTCCTGGTCCTTCCTGCATGGATCTCCTGCAAATGTGATCCCAACAGCACACCTTCACAAATTTCCTGAACACAGCCTCCTTCTCCAAGTCTGATCCTCAAACCAGGACACCAGGAAGTATCTTTTTATAGTTTTCTTTCTTCCTTTTCTAAAATTGATTTTTAAAATTTTATTGATACATACATATAGATAGATAGATAACATTCATCACAGGGAATTTGTACCTGTACGTGACATACCTTACTTCTTATTTTTTTCCCATTCCCCTCGCCTCCCTTCAACCCATCGTCCCCTTACAAAATCTTTGTTCCCATTTCTTCCTTCTGTTTTCTTTTTTTCTTGTCCCTTCTTCCCTGTCCCTCTTCCCCTTCTCATCTAAAGTATTTTTTGATATTCAGTAAGTGAATGAATGTGCAAAATTATCACTGTGGTAATTTCTGCCTCTACCATTGTGGGATGGGTACAGGGTAAGGTCATTACTGTTACCTGAATTGCTAAGCATGTTAATTATTTCCTAATTATTTAGAGAACCACATGTGACTGTTGTAAAGTCTTCCTTGTCTTTCATACACTCTCCTGGTTCTGGTCTGCTGCTTGTTTACTATATGCTGACATAAATCACTTTCTCTATGTCTAAAAGGTTTGTGTATGAGTATGACCTTGTTGAAGACCTGAAGTCCTTGTTGGCCTGAACTGGTTGGGAGATTTGCAACTGCAAATAGCACTTGTGGTCTGTCTGGATTTCACAGTGTTATATCTGATGTAGAACCGTTTCATGCTTTGACGCTGAGTGCTGTCAAAATGTGAAGGTAAAGTAGATGAAATAGTATTTGTAAACTGAAGAAAATACTTTTAAAAATCTCAGTGGTTCACATTTTGGCCACTGGGTGTCATTACAGATCTAGCTTTAAAAGCATGGGGTTTTCACCAACTGATTGGAAATAACTAATAAAGAGTCTGAGGAGATTTAATAACATGTTTTCATTGTTCAAGCTTCACACAGCAATCAATATCCACTTTAGGAGATTCTTTATGAAGTACTGGAGCAGTATTTATGTCTTCCTCTACAACAAATCACATGGATGGAGCTTCTTCTAACAATGTTGGGGTAAGCCTTAAGTCAATTAAGAGAAGGAACATGGGTGACGGGGCAAGACATAGCACAACTGGGCTACTGCCTTAGGACTTGCTAAAAACAAAGACGTAGTTCCAAAGCAATCTGTTCTGTTACTTGGTTGTCTTAAATCATTAAAATGGCCTCTATACATCTTTTCTTTTCTTTTTTTTTTTTTCTTACAGATGTGGAAATTAAAGCCCAGGGATTTTATTGACCACCAAAGGTCAGACACTACATAGAAGATCCAGAACATTCCTAAGGCAACAGATTATAGCTTTGATGAAGGCCTAGACTAGGTGGTATTTCCTCAAAGTGTGCTTCCTCAGCCCCCTGCATCAAAATTCCATATAATAATCACTAAATGTAATACTAATTATTAAAATATGTATTCTAGTCTCTGAGCTCCTTGCTCAGAATTTCTGGGATAAGGTCCAGAAATCTGCAGATTAATAAAATCCCATTAGGCGACCTGCATGCATGCACACACTGAACTTTGAATCTTCTTGCTAGAACAGTGAATCGGGGAGCGAAGATGGCCCCCCGAAGGCGCAGAGGAATAGAATCCCAGCTCACAGACCACGCCACACTCCCTTCTCTTTGGAGATCTTCTTCCTGAGTACCAGGCTGGCCTCAGTGGTCTCCTCCCACCCACCTTCCTCTGGACACACACTTGTTCATCTGTAAAGGACTCCGCTAACTCAGGTATTCTCAACCCAAGGGCTCATTTGAGTTATCATGGGAAGTTTTAAAACATGCAGAGGCCAGAACTAAGCCAGGCGAATTGAATCAGAACCACTGGGGGTGAGGCTGAATATTTAACAAGTGTCTCAGGGGTGACTGATTTTCATGCTGATATTCTGCAAAAGCATACTGTCTTAAAGCAGAATGCGGGGCAGGGAGAGGAACACCAAGGAAACAATTTTGTAAATTAGCATAATATTTTTCTAGGCAGAATTAAAGTGCGGCTGGTTTTCTGGATCCAGAGACAGGGCAGGATTGAACCCGACATTGGGGGGCCAAGTTGCAAGGGTGGCGAACCTATGGCACGCACACCACAGCCAGCCATCATTTGTTATCACTGAAACCTCTAAAATGTTTGCCATCGCTGATAGGGGCCATCAACTTCAGCCATGTTCTCTTTCCTAATTCCTGACCTACATGGCAAGAGGGTCACACTTCATGAGATGAAACCTGATTGATTGTGTGGGCACGCTGGGTACACTTGGCCCGGAACAGTTGTGGCCCACCACGCCATTGCCTCCCAGTTGCAATCTCTGGGGCTCTGTTCTGGACCCCATCCCTGACCCTCACACAAAGATCCAGGTCCATGGAGCTCTATCATTACGTACTTCCTGTATAGACATCACTCTATCTCTAGATGAAAGCTTTGAAAAGCCCACATTGTCTGGCTTACACCTCAGTATTTCCGGGATTTGGTGCAGTACCTGTAGTCCGTTCTAAGGGACTCCCTAGTCTTCCTCTGCCACCTGCAAAAACAATGAGCTCATTCTCCCGCATGGAAATCCCTTTCCGCCTGGTTAACAAGCACAGCTGGAAGGAGTGCAGAAGAGACGGAGTTCATAGTAAAGAGCGGACATGATGTGACTGAGGAAATGATGTCCGCTTTGCGTGTGGTTTCTTCCACCCTCCATGGGCACCCTGTACCACATTCCTCTTTCTTTCCAATTCTGGGAGTAGTGTCTCCAAGGAAGCTAATTGAGGGCATGGGCAAGGTACAGCTGTGGGTAGACCCCAGGGCATTCTCCCATCCTACAGAAATAGACATCACTGCTTCTTGAATTTTATATCTTGTGTTTCAAAGCAGGAATCTGGAGCTGGACAAATTTTACAGAGATATAACCTACCATTGAGGCCAGGAGCTTACTTGAGCTTATCAATTCCTATCTCTAACAGGATAGATACCAAATGAGGCCCCACTAGCACACTTACTAGTTGCTGAAGCCCGCTTATCTGTCTCTTTGCTCGAGCAGTATTTTAGGAAGAGCACTGTGACACTGCCTGTCACCAGAGCCTCATGATTCTGGGGCCCTCAGTTTTATTTGCATTTTGTAGAGAGCTCAAGGGATTCCGACTTCGGTTTCATGCATCTCAGAAGGAAAATTTTACTTTACACCACGGGCTGCAGAAGCCTTATAACTGGTGCTGAAATCAGGAGCCGAAGTCCCACAAAAGAGGATAAAATTGATCTTTGTGATATAAACAAAAGAAGAGGGAGAGAGTTACCGAATTTGCCAGAACTGGCTTTTCAGCAAAATTAATAGCAGCGTTGTTAACTTGTATTTTTACCTGATGATTGAAAATATTTCTGTCTGGAGTGAATGAACTTCTTTATATCATTTTCTACCTCAACTGTGCAACACGTAGCAAGATTTAGCAGTCATACTAATTTGTTTAATTAAAACTCCCTTTGGACCAATTACTCAGAAATGTACTATCTCCCTGCAGTTATCAGAAAGATGTTCTCTCACTGCCTGCTGAATCTCCCCTCAGCTGTCACTTAAGACAGATCTTGATGACTATGAGCCTTTCACAAAACACAGGAGCGGTCTATATAAGGGAGAATCTCTAAAGACCTATATTCTCCATCTCAATGAGAGCAAATTTGAAGTAAATTAATATGAGTCATTGAAATAAATAGCAAACGAGCTGAACAAAGTAATAATTTTAGATCTATCCATCCACATAGTTATCATATACATAGATTTGCTCATATTTATTCTCCTGCTATTACTAACACACTAAGAATTTCCTTTTCATCCCAAGAATAGCGGTAGGGGCTGGGGATTTAGCTCAGCGGCAAATCACCTGCCTGGCAAGCGCAAGGTCGTGAGTTCGGTTCCCGGCACCGGAGAAAAACCAAAAAAAAAAAAAAGACACCAAGAATAGCGGTAGCATAGCCATTCAACAAGCAATGATTTGTAAACCCTTATAACTGTATACTAAGAGTGATAGAGGTTTTAAACTAGTAGGAATAATATTGCAAAGGAACAAGACTTTGCTCACATTTATTTACCCAAATTTGCTTTGGGATAGCTTGAGATAACAGTCCTCATACTCTGGAAGGGTAATAATCCAAATTGTCTTTATCTAAATGAAGCACAGTGTTTGCCTCTAATTGGTTTTCTAATTGGCTGCTTCTGGTACTGGCTATACTGCTGACTCACTGACTCATGTACCACCCAGGGCTTTATCCAAAGTAACCGTAACGGTCATTTCTGACTATTTCCTATGCTGATTCTTAGAAAAATTCCATTCAGTTCTGTACCTGAGCATCTAGAAAAAGGATCAATAATCTTTTTATTAAACTAGTCTAAAAGCTGGGCGTGGTGGCACATACCTGTAATCCCAGCACTCAGGAGGCTGAGGCAGGAGGATCGTTGCGAGTTCAAGACCAACCTGGGCTACAAAGTGAGCTCAAGTCCAGCCTGAACCGCATAACAAGACCTTGTCTCAAAAAAACAAAAACAAAAACAATTAAAAAATAAAAAAAGCTAGTGTAAAAGTACATAACGTGAACATTATTTAAATGCAACATTATTCCTCTTTGACACTGATTTTCTGTCATTTATTTGTAAAGTGGAAGAAAAGCAAAGCAAAGAATTAAATGAATTGAACGAGCAAGCATTTATGCTTACGGGACCCACAAGCTGAGCCAGTAAAGAAAGAGACAGAAATGTGTGCATCCGTCCTTAAATCACATGCTTACTGGACCATTTCGGTAGTGAAACCATTGCGGCAGTTCTTCAAGAGTCTTCCTGTAAACTCTCCATGAGTTTGCAATAAGATCGAGAAGGAAAGACTTGCACAGTGTGAAACAGATTAAGCAATAATGGAAAGGCCTACGTAATTAGGTTAAAAAACAGAATCGAGTAATGCACACTTGAAGTACTGGGAGAATGCAAAAATAGGACAGATGGGGGTTGTAGTATCAGAACTGAGTTTTCTGGAAGATGAAGAATTTAAGTTTGTTCCACAAACCCAGCTTATAACCAGCATTTATTAAAACATTTCTTATGAGTGCTGTACAAGACTGTGGAGGCGGAAAAGACTAGAGTGAATAGGATCTGGACTCTAACTGTCAAGAACTTTGTGCACCAGAATGAGAGACGCACATTTACCTAATAATGCAAGGTTCTAAAGGTTAAGAGTGGGCAGTTAAAGTATAAGGGAAGTCCTTGGAAAGCCAAAGTAAGAAAAATAAAAGATAAAGAGGACAAGGAGCAGGAATTATCAGAGCAGGATTTCATGGAAAGGGTGTAAAGCAGATTATGGAGCGAAATACTGAAAAGCACCGACAAATTCTTGGACTTGAGAAAAATGCTGACTAATGAAACCTTAGCGTCTTTGGGATTTAGCAGTTAATCACTGACTACGGAGGAGAAGAGGCAAGGCAGAGAAATGAAGGAAGTGGGAGACAAACAACAAAAGTAATCAATAGAGAAATAGTGAAAAAAACAACAACAACAAAAAAGAGAAATAGTTGGAGGCAGTTTGGATGAAGAAATACACCCTAAGTTGTTTTGTAAGAAACATGGAAGTGGGCGAGGTCAGAAATTTGGTTAGAATTTGACCAAAGAGGTCAGAATTTGAGGGAAGGTATCTGAAACTTCTCTCTTTTTTGCCTGTTTGAGACAGGGACTCGCTATGAAGTTCAGGCTGGCCTCAGCTCACTTTGTAGCCCACGCTGGTCTCGAACTCGCAAGGATCCTCCTGCCTCAGCCTCCCGAGTGCTGGGTTTACAGGCGTGCACTACTACACCCCGCTTTTTTTTTTTTTTTTTTTTTTTTTTGGTATCGGGAATTGAACTCACGACCTCGTGCTTGCCAGGCAGGTGCTTGAGCCACTGAGCTATATTCGCGGCCCTGGAACTTCTAAAAAGAGGAAAACCCCAGGGGCATCTGTTTCCAGGATTGCCTGCATTGGTGTAAGCCTGCCTGGTCAGCTTGAATGGTGACTGCTAGCGCTTTCTGTGCCATGATCCAGATAGTGGGAAAAGGACAAGTAGGATTGCAAAAGAATGTACCAGAATCAAACTGTACATCCTCCCACCCTACTCTGTCCTGCAGGAGCAGAAGTAACCTAGCTCGTGTGAGTTAAAGCTGGACAGGACAGCATTCCCATGAAATGCAGATGTCCAGGGAGTACAATGGTACCTGATTATGCCCACCTATAGCAGGTAAAAGCAAACATAAGTGATCACTTACAGATATAGTAGTTGTCTTTTACCTCTTTAATGAGAAAAGCATTGAAAATGTGTACAGCTATTCCTTGTTCAGCGACCTACCTGTTTAACGACTGTTCAAATTCATGACCAAGGTGCACTGTTCAGATTTACCACCCACCGCTAGAATTTATGAACCCTCTTTTTTTTTTTTTTGGTACAGTTCTGTACATTTTGTTTATAGAGCATCAATGTTCTCTTTTGGTACAGTACACCTTGTTAATATAGTACTATAATTTCTGCTAATTGGCCTGACCAGTACAGTACCGTAGTTTTATGTTCTGTTATACATTACAGTACTGCATGTAACAGTTATGCAAATAAATGCAAAATCACCAAGTTGGAGTTTCCTTTGACCATTTCTTTGTCCTGAATACTGTAAGTACATACTATGTACAATTTCTCATTTACCAACCAACTCATTTCACAGGAGCAGTGACTCGGTCATTACAGGAGGGATGTCTGTACTATTGTATTTGTGGCACCAAAACACAATTGTGGGGTGTTGTTTACAGATACTGAACTCACTAGGATAGAATGAACATTTTCTGAACTCTCACCTTAGAAACAGTAATCAGGAAGGGAATTTTAAAATTAGTTATGCAAATATTTTCATGAGAATTAAGAAGGAATGGCACAGGTTAATTTTTATCAAATACAAATTAGAATATTGAACTGTTTTAGTGGAAGCAAGCAAAAAAATGACCAGCATCTGCATTTACTGCATACTCTGACTAGCAGGGTCAATCCGTCTTGATTTATTTCCCAAACTCTCTCAGCCACTATCAGGGAAGTCCAAGATTCCCAGGCCATTCATCATACAGACACTCATTTCTACATTATCTGTTAACGCAAACTGCCACATGGCCTCACCTTCATGAACCTCACCATGGGGCCCCAGGGCCAACACAACACTCACCAGAGAGATTTTCATATCTAACTTCCTAGTTTCTAATAGACAGCATGGCCAAAGCAAAAGTCTATCCAAGTACATGTAGCCCCCCCATCATTTTATCGAGCATTCATTTTTAAATAAATTACACTTTCAGATACTGAATTTATTAATTAAATATCTAGTTTTCATTGTCTATTAGTTTTTGTCTCTTCCTCTTCTATTATAGTGTTATACTATACGATAATATCACCCAATAGTCTCCAATTCTCTTGATTTCAGTTGTCATTTTAACACTGTAAGAAGATATACAGTCCCAGGGCTTGGATCCTCCCATTCTACAGTTACTGTTTTCCTCCTTTGCCAGCCTCACCAGATCTCCTTTGCTTTACTCTCACAGCTTTGTCATTCTCTGGCCATCAACACTTGGGGTAATTTCAGTTGTAGCACGGTTAAATGAAGACAACTACGATCACATCTGATTGTTTTTGTTATTCAGTGACCTCATTCATTTGAAGAAGGGAAGTGTGTAAATGAATCTTTAAACAGAGCAAAATAAAAGAGAAATAAATAGGAAATTGGGAGCAGTTCAAATATTTCCCCAAATTACATATCCCATTGTTTCAAAAATATTTTAGTATATATGCTAGACTGTTTCACTTATGTCACGAGTTGATCTGAGTTCGTTGAAAAGAAAGTTTTGTGTTATTGTGTTTGTTTCTTTTCCGTCAGAATCTTTCTGATTTATGTCCTGTACTCTGAGTAACTACTTTGAAGACAATGACGCACAGTGTATTCTCTTACTTTGTTATGGAATTTTGTATTTTTCATAAAATAAGTGAAAAATAAAGTTATACAAGAACCCTCAAAAATGTTAATTTTGAAGAAAAACTGCATTAAATCAAAAAGAATATGTTTTATTTATAACAAACATGAGCGTACAGAAGAGTTATGAAGTTCTAATTTCTTGTTGAATCGTTATACACTTATAGGAAGACTCTAGAATTATCACTAAAAATTTACATTTGTAATTTATGGTAAAAATTTATACAGGTTCGCAATACACCTACATAATAAAAGTGTTTGGCTAAAATAAATAACTCAAACCACTGCTGAGAGTGCAGAGCTCAAACATACAGTTTTGATTCACCTTTAAGTCTTAAATCAGACATTATGGCAATGCAAGCAATATAACATGATTTGTGTATTTGTCGTTTAGATAATAAATAATACTTAAATAAACTCACTGAAATTTCATAACAGTGTTCTCTAAGTTAAAGTCGTAGAATAACACTCATTATAGGAGGGAGAGAATTATAGAGATTGGATTACTCAGCAAGTGGTTCTGGAGTGAAGCATACATATTCAAATATTACAAACAATCACGAACATTACAAGGAAGATGAAACTTTTAAAATTGGAAAATAGGGAAATATCTAATTTAACTGAATTAAGATAATGAAAATACTGGAATGTCAAGACAGTGTTGTTGTGAAAGAGTATCTTTTCATTTTCCTTTTTTACCAACATTTTGGAATGTGGTCATTTTATATAATCTAGTAGGTATTTCCATTTTAGTAAGATTATATTCATTATTGTTATGACATTGGAGAATATCTTTACACAGATACCAGGGAATGTTGAGATAAAAATGTTGGTCCAGAGGTCATAGTTATCCAAACAGGCAGAAAATAAATTCTTCTAAGGTATCTATTATTTTAGGTAATCTCTCACTCTTCTGTTGTACAGTAATGCAACTTATGCAATACCTACAGTAATGTGGTCTTTCTCAACAGATGTAATCTCCTCTGTCTTGCTGCATATCCTGCAAACAGATACATAATTCAGCCATTCAGAAGCTGTATATTTCCTTCATACTTCTAATTTTCTACTATCACCAAATAAGATAATACTAGTTTCTCATACACAACATTTTTGACACATTCATGAACTATCTGTTTCTCGTTGAAGAAAATATGGTATCTGCTTTCCACGTAGGTGAAACAATATTTACATATTCCCCAAGTTCTGCACGGTTGAAAATGAAAATTGGTTTCATTTCCCATTTGTATTAAGAGATCTCCTCCAGGACTCTTGCCAGTTCGCTATGCTTCATTTTCTCTGTGAATAGTTCATCAAATACTCTCTTCTGCTTTGAAGTAAAGTAGTTTATCCAATCACCCACCACTCCTAGAGAAATGGGACATATATCAGATAAGAACAAATTCAAATGTACAGTATTCATAAAAAAAATCTGTCAGCTTTATCATAAAAATATGTAAACCTCATAGGTTTTACTACAGAAGGCAAAGTAAATTCTAACCCAAATGTAATAAAACCATAAAGGAATGTGGACAGAAAGATATTTCATTTAACTCCTTACTTGGGCACCTGCATTACAGAAACTGTGTTGAAAGCATGCCAGCGAGGTGGGTAACTAGTTTCACTTTAAGGAAATTTATTTTACAAGGTTACTAATGGAGAATAGAAACAAAAACACCAGGTCTCAGTGTAAGGTGTTTGGTGACAAAATATATACCTTCCACAGTCCACCAGCCTCCTATTATACAAATCACTTTTCTCAGTCTTGGCTACATGACTTGGCTACTTCTCAGCCCGTCAAAACTACCATTTTCAACTCCGTTATGCCTACCTGCCAAATCCCAGCTCTGGATCTTGTACCTTGTAGTGTTTTGTTTTCATTTCTTTTTGTTTTGTTTTTTGTTTTTTGTTTAGTTTTGTTTTGGTTTTGCCATGTATGGCCTCAACTTTCAGTCCTATATATGTCCAGTTACTGGAAGAGTGACACATTCTTTTATGCCTAGATTTTAATCTGTGAGATATTGTCCTCTAACATCTTTTCTTTCCCACCAGCTTATGAACTCTTCCAAGTTAGTGGCTGTGATGTATTAATTTTATACAATCCTGAGTTTCCAGTTCAGCACTGAGCAGCTTCCAGAGGGGGCTCAATAAATACCTCTGTTGTACTTCAATGTCAGACAGTGTAACTAGGGCAAAGAAATATATTACAAGCAAAGAATTTTTGATGTTCTCAATGTCTGGTCCAAAAGATTGAATTCAAGAAGGAGCAAAGAGGAGTTGTCATATGTGAAGGGGTGGGAGGGAGGAACAGGAAGGAGCCCTGTACCTGGGGGGAAGACCTCAGTCAGAAAATGGCATGGACTCTAAAACACACCACTTTGAACACAAGACCAGCTTCATGAGTTCAATGTGCCTGGCCCATAGCAGCATTATGGCTCCTGAACCATTTCCTTTGGTCTTGCCTACTTCTCCCTTCCAGCTTCTGTAAGAGTTCACCTACACTACTGCTACTCTCTTTTACCTCACCTGCTTTTGTTTGCTTGTGCTGTTTTTAGTTTCTGATTTGATCGCTGGGTCCTTTTTACTTTTTCTTTTAAAATGTAAAATTTAAAATGACATAGCAGTTGTGCATATAGGTTATAGGAAATACACATAAACAAAGAAGACACAAAAATCAAAGAAATAGACTCAGCTCACAAGGCTAACAAATCTGTTTTCGTACATTTCCCTGGATGTTTTTCTTTTCAAGCAAATACAGTCATATGAACTGCATTTTAAAAAAATCACAAAATCGTCACCTGCTGTTTTCATATAGTATACTTTGATCATCTTCCATGTTAGTACACACACAGGACAACTTAGGGTTCAGGAGAAGATGCATAACTAAGAGCTCAAAGAAGAAATCAAACAAATTGGAAAACATATTGAGACAAAAGAACCTCACACATGCAAACCTTATGGGATCCGGCAAAAACGGTACTAACCCAGGTAATTTGTAGTGACAAATAGCTACATTAAAAAAAGAAATATCTCAAATAAATCACCTAATTTTATACTTCAACAAACTAGAAAAAGAAAATACTAAGTGTGAAGTGAGAGCAAGAAATAATAAAGATTGAAGCAGAAATAAATAAAATAGAGAAAATAGAAAGCATCAACCACATTAAGTTGTTTTTTTAAAAGATAAACAAGAAAGATTTTTTATTTTAAAGATAAAAGAATGAAAACATCTTAGCAGACACACAGACATTTACAAAATAACACAAAATAATACAAGCAATACAGAATTTCAGACAAGGTGATAGGAAATTAACAATCATTGTATTACACACTTGATATCTTCAAATTGGTTATGAACACAACTAGAAACCCTACTCATAAGTGAAATAAATCAGACTCACATGTGTAAACACCATATTATCTCACTAGTATAAGAATCTGAAAAAGTGAATAAAATCTAGAAGGTATAATAGGTATAGTGAAAGGGAAAGAAACTGCTCAAAAGGAAAGAACAAGTGGGATGAGGGAAAAGAGAAAGAAAGAAAAATGGGAAAAATATGTATATGTGTACACATAAGATAGCTAAGATAGCTGTACTACTGATTTCTGTTGCTTTATTGAAAGAAACGGTTAATGTTTAATTGATAAATTTTACATGCCTATATGTGTTTATCTAAGGTACACAAAATTTATAAGCCTTTAGTTAGTGTAAAAGAAGACAGAAAACTCAAATAAATTAGATTTATTTAATTCAACTCCACCATCTCCTACTTGTATGAATTTGGAAAGTTATTAGACAATTGATGTCTCTGTAAAATGTGGCTAACATGAATACCATGCTCACATCTACTGCCAAGTTTAAGCAAGAATAACCGAGTAATCACCTGTAATCACCTCAGAGTAAGCTCCCAATAAATGCTAGCTAGTTATTGTTATGTAATTATCTATAATTTCCATTACTCTGTAGTAAACATCTGAAAAGATGTGACCTGGCTTCTGATTAGCAGTCTGGGTTTTTATTGCTGTAAGCAGTATTGCAACATGCATCCTGTCCATACGTCTTTCCACACTCTTGTGGTTCCAGAATAACTTGTAATACGGACTTAGATTTCTGACGCTTGTATCATTACCTTATCTGCATGCTTATCATAGTTACCTTCTAAAACATCGGCTCTAATTCTGACGTCAAAAGAAAGACAGCTACAGATTCACCTCTGTCAAATGAAGAATTTCTCCTTTGCCAGGGAGTCTGAAGAAACAACTTTAGTAGTTTACCTGAAATGATTACTTTCAGTGTGTGGATCCCTGACTCTGACTCTATGTCCCCCCCGAAAAAGAGTGAAGTGAATGAACTCTACTGACCCCTTCTTGTGTTTAATTCCTTATACAGAAAGATTTCCTAACAGGCAGACTTGTGGACTAATGATGGTGAAAATGTTTCCACTGTTGATCTGTGTTTATATCCAGCACACTAATTAGGTAGAAGTTAAACTCATTAGAGTTAATGTTGCGATGACAATGATGTTGATATCATTTGCCACGGTTGTAGTATGGGAGGTCAGAGACTATCTCCATTCGCGTAGAGTAATATTTCACAAGTGTGTAGGATAAGAAGTGAGAATATTGATTGCTTTACTAATCAGAATCTCAAAGGGCAGTAATGAAGTACTGGACTCCAGTAAGCACCAGAACTTCCGCATTTCTCACTCTCCTCTTTACCTTGGTTGGTTTCTCTCTCAGTCTTTTCGTTTGTCTCCTGTGCTTACTTTAACTTCTTTACATGTATCTTTTCCGGGTTTGTCTGGCTTCCCTGCGTTGCCTCTCCCCATCCTTGCCCTTAAGCTCCCACACCACCTTGCTCATACCCTTGTCACCAAATCCCTTGAGAAGATGACTATTGCTGCTCCCCTTCTTTACCTCCCATCCTGTCAGCCCCTCTGGCTGCCATCCCAATTCTGTGCAACCTTTGCTTTCAGAATTCATGCATGATAAACACTTCGCTGTATTTGATCCTGCCTTTCCTCATAATTCTGCATGGTTCCTTTTCTTGGCTTTCCTCGGGTGGTTTCATTTCCCTGGATATTACATAGCATCTCCTGGTCTCCATCTCGTACCACTTGCCCCACCCACCATTTCCCCCACCTTACCTGATTCTACAACCCGCGGGTGGTCTCCAGACTCTCCTTTCAGCTGAGCTTCACCCAACAGTGACTCATCACTGCCGCCATCATGACCCTCAAAGTTTTTTACTTGAACAATTACAACAATCTCTTCACGGGTCCTCCTGTCCCACTTTCACTCTCTTCCAGTCAATTTTCCATCCTGACTCCATTATTTTCTAGCTCACAGACTTGAGCATTTCTAGCCCCTTCTTCAAATAACAAACAGGAAAAAGAAAGCAGAGCTCCTCACAATGTCCATCAAAGCACTTACTGTCTGGCACCAATATTTATCTCCCTTGCATTGCATCTCACATACACTACTCTGCGCAGGAGACCACCTGCTCCTTGTACTACCCAACTCTACGGTGATCTGAGCTTTTCCTCTTGGTGCTTGTTCTTATTGGAACTCATTGTTTTCCCATATTGTCAAGGTAATGTATTTCTTGAGCTTTTGGTCCCAGATCTGATGCATGCCATCACTCAAATTTGCTGGAGAAAAGTTTCTCTTTTACCTATGTTCCCAGTCCCATTTGCTCCTGCCGTGAGTATTCCTGTCAGTGCCTTCTATGACTCTCTAGATTCTGCTCTTCTGAAGGAAAAAGCTGTGTTTCATTCCGTGTTTGAGTATAATTCCTAGAAATTATAGTTTACTAATAAGTATTTACTGAATCAAATTCTCATCTCCTTCCTAGCCCTAGTTCTACAAAGATAAGGAAATAGAAAATGAACTACCAAAATGGAAAATAATTTGCAAAGCTAGGACAATATCTGTTTTACATGAATTGGAAAATATTTGCTTGGTGGGCCAATATTCAGGTGGGCCAGAGAAGGAAAATACAGTAAATGTTTGGTTTTTGGTGAGTAATCTGAGTATATAAACACAGAATATTTTGCCTCATGAGTTATGGGATAGTCTCCTCCTACACCTGGATAAAAAGTTTGCATAAACTTCAGAAGAGTTGTGCAGCTAGGTGCACCCCACTGAAGAATTAGTGTGAGCGATTTATTTTTTTCTCTTTGTATTTCCTTGCTGAGAATATCCTTGGGGAATAATTGCAGCTTTTCTCCTCACTCTCTTGCTGCATCTGGGGATGAGCTGGCTGGTTGGGTGAGCTGGGGAAATGGACCGTCCATGCTCATCAGCTGCTTTGTCTCTCCTGAAAAGAATGGTGGTGTGTCCAGCTCTCCTCCCCGTTCCTGTGGCCTCCCCACTGGAGGAGAAGACAGCACCTGATTGGCTGTGACTAAGTGCATATGTTTGCATAACTCAGGGTAAATTGTTAGTAAATGTGCAGACCTGATGCACATTCATCAAACGATGTTATTATTTCCATTTGTTTATTTCCATTTGTTCCATACCGGCCTCTCAATTGGCTCTAATCAGGCATGGAAATCTCAGTTTTGGAAAGAAGGAAGTCAAGATTTCATTTCAAACACATCCGCTAAGAGGTGAAAATGTGCAATTACTGTGCAAGATATGGGGACTCTGAAGGTAAAATGAGAAATAAAAAATGGAACTGGAGTTGTGCCTGTGTCTCCATGGGGGACCGGTTACAGCACCTCCTCCCCCAAACCAACAGACACCAAAGTTCTCAGATGCTCAAGTTGCTCGTATAAAATGTCATATAGTATTTGCCCATAACCTTTGCACATCTACCATCTATTTTCAATAACTTCTCTCTTACTTATAAAATGTAATACAGTGCAAATACTATGTAAGTAGTTGTGATACTGTTTTTAGAGAACAGTAACAAACACTTACTAACAACTCACTGTGTAGTCCAGGTTGGCCTTGAACTATCCTCACAATTTTTTTTTTCAAAAGTTTTTAACCTGCAGTTACAATTGTTTCATACACTCACCATTTTTTCCAAGTATTTTTAACATATAGATGGCTAAATACAGAGACGAAGATGGAGCAGACATTGAAGAACAACTGTACCTCCAACAGAGCCCCCAAGACAAGGCCCCCAAACCTCCTCCCTGCTTACCTTTCCTGAACACCAGCTTCCGGTCAGATGTGAGGGCACAGATGGTGTGATTGAGATCACTGTTTTCTTTGACCGAATTATTTTTCATTTCACTGAATGATGTTTTCCAAGCAATCTTATTAATTTCACTATCATTCACATTTATGCCAAGGAAAGTTGCTATTTTCTTTAAGCTTTTAGAAAAATCCTGAGCGAAAAGCAAAATTCTTTTTAAAAAATGGAATATAAGTCTTATCAAAGCACTGCATTTATTCCCTGAAAACTGAAAGCAGAATTCAATGATTATTCCCTGTTTTAACTTAATTTGATTTAAATTTTGATTGCTGAAACGTTAAGGACTTACTTTCTTCAGTTCTTCATAGAATATAATTAGGATGTTTTTATCGTTTCTGTGCTCTTCCCAGCTTAAAACGTGATCAAACCAGGATCCGTATACAACTAGAAGAGAAGTGCATTGTGTTGTGGTTAAAAATGGTGGAGGGGTTCTTCCCACTTCAGCTAAGTAATCGAAGCGAGGCACTTACTTTTTAGACTCTCAAGTGAGATTTTCTTTAAAGAGTTCAATTTCACTATTGTTTCAACTAAATATAATTGTGTGATATTAAGCTGGCTGGCCATATCTCTTAACAAGCCTGTTGGTGTTTTCTTTTTTTTTCCTTATGTCTACACTCTCTTAACATCAGGAAAAAGGCAGCAGAAATGGAGAAGCTACACAAGGGGTGATCAAAAAGTGCTGTTAATATTCATCTTTTAAAAATCTATGACAGGCAGGGTGTGATAGTGCTCATCTATAATCCTAGTGCTTAGGTGGCTGAGGCAGGAGGATTACTGCAAGTTCAAGGCCAGCTTGGGCTACATAGTGAGTTAAAGG